CCTTGGCACACTGGCACAGCTCGGTCTGTCTGCGGCTAACGCTCAAGCTGAAATTGGCAGCACTAGGCTCGACGACGGATCATTTGCTTGACGCAGTGCTTGCCGATCGCCGTTGTTGACCGTTGGTCTTAAGCACGTGTTTGGACAGCGTCCACCGGGTGGACACTGCTTCTGGTTCTTGTTGGAAGTTGTCGAGCAGAAATGGCCTGGTGCGGTGGCACGTCTCCATTCTTTCCCTCGTCGATCGTCTCTTCCAGCGCGAACCAGCTCATCGGTAACGATACTCCTCACTGTTCCTGTGCTGTGCCTCATCTTCGCCTTCGTTTCAGATCCAGCATTCGCATTGAAGAACACTGACGTGACGATCGAACTAGAAAACGCTGCTCTGTGGAACCAGTTCCACAAGCACGGTACGGAGATGATCGTCACTAAAAACGGAAGGTAATTATTCGCCGTGTTCAGTTAACATCTGGACTTGAGTGAAAATTGTATCCAACCGTATGTTTCACGTGTAAGGTCTGCTGGTCCACATCGGCGCCTTTTCTATGAATAGTAGTTTTTCCTCTAGAGGGACACATGGCCCCGTCTTCATAGAACCATCTTTATTTTTGAATCATTTCTGCTACATTTGTTATGGTTTATCGTTCCTCAAAGGCTGTTTGTTCCTACCAAATTTTGTGGTCACTGAAAATCTTTTCTCTTTGGTTGGCAGTTCACAGACTTATCACATTTTGTTAATCGGTCACTTTAAACTGTTTCCGGAGCCCGTGAATTCAGATATTAATTATAATATGGTTATCGATATTCATGCATTTTCGAATCCTATTATTTGTTTTGGACGTTGGGGCCGTTCTCTCAGAAGCCTCTCCGGTCCGACGCCAAACGAACATGCTAACTTGTGTGGCGATTTCAGTTCATAACTACGTCAGTTCTGCATAACCGAGCAAACCGATAATGTCTGTGGTAGAAATTTGACTGCAGGCATCAAATTGGTCACTTCGGTCTGCGGTAACATTGTCTCCTGATATTACTATTCTTCAGGCCCGGAATCATAAGTATCATAGATATTCCTCTTTGCGTTTTCCTACAGTGACGAATCGAGTCTTAAGGATAAACTGTGACCAGTGTGCCATCCATGTTATCCATCACTCTGTATCTGGATGTAATTTTTTACCGCCTATAGTTTATTCATGAGATTATTTCCTAAACCATTGCAACTGATGAAACGATCGGTTTGGTGAAAAAACTGAAGCTGGTTCGCCCCATTTCAACCAAGTGACAAAACAACCAACAAATCATAGGCTGGTTTTCTACACGTTTCAGCCAGTTTATGCCTTTCCAGGCCGTTTAAAGCAGATGGAAAGCTTGATCAAGTCGTCCCCTCTTGCAGTGTGTCCACAGACCTAAACACGTTCTAAAAGGCGCCGGTTTGACTTAGTCACAAATAAGCGATTTTTTTGTTTTCGTTAATTGCGGGGTTCCGGCTAAGGCAAGACTGTGGATCCCATCTGTGTACCAGCACTCAGAGTATTATGGCAGTTGCAGCGCTCACATTGCCATCAGTGATAAACCGCTCATACCAGTGTACCGTTCATGATGGTATGACCGGAAGTTGAATTGCGGCTCAGTCCAGGTTAGCAATACCGCACCTTCACTATGCCCGTTCATATCTAAGTTTTGAAGCCTCGGCATTGTCTCGTGTACGTTTAAGTTTACACCGTGACTTTGATACCGTCGAAAGCTTACGAGGTAAGTACTTCACATTACCAGTTTGGACTGACAGGCAATTTAGTTTCATTCCATACCGGTATGAATTAAAGTACTAATTATTTTCTGGACTAAATAATCGTCATGAATGACAGCTAAGGCAATTTTCTGAATAATATTTACCTCAAAACGACAGCTAATTGATTAGCGCAAATATTTTTGCTGCAAAACAAGGTCAGAATTTTGAGTCTGATACTAATGTATAGAAATTGAAGTTAAAGAATATAGAAAAAAGTAATAACAATGACTTCACAGGTTTCATTCCGCCATCAACACAGTTTCCTAAGCAAAGTAGTGAAATGCCTCGCTGCTCGTTCAGCTAAGGATCCGTATTACGTATATGGCCGAGTCATAATATGACACATCCCTTTTGTAAATGAACAAAGGGCACGGTTCTTTCGTACAAGTAAGTGATCAGAGAAATTGTCCAGGATAACTGCATGATGTGCTGCTGCACCAGCCCGTGGATATACAAAAAGTCCAAGAAAGTCGTACCACTTACTAATGAGTAAAAGTCCAGCACCGCATTCATTTCCTATAGACTTAGTAGTTCCTTTCATTATCAGCTTCACTCCATAATGACACAACTTAGTAAGCAGAGAATTGGATGCCAGGTAGAGATGATGAATTGCACAGAAGTGAGAGAAATATCGAAACATCGTTTATACGTTTCAAAGCCTGTCCCCATTTAATAGTTGTACAACTCGTCTTGATTTCCCTATAGACCGATAGCTGTTACGATGGGAAACTCGCAGATCGAATCGATTAATCCAAGTTTAAAGTACACAAACATACACCTGAAACTCAAGCAAAACATAGACTTACTCTGTTTGCAAATTAAAACATTCAGTCCAGTTCAGAGGTTGGTCACTCTCCGCTGATACACCGTTAATCCGTCAGAGTCAGATAATCTATCGGTGAGCAGGACCGAAATAGCCATCTGTATTGCCATCCAGTGAATTTGGATTTACTGCCAAACCTGATGAACTACAAAAGCGATTAAAGAAAATTATTGTCAATTGTACATCATACTCAAGGATGTGACAGCTCACTTTGGATGGGCTTCTTACACTTTCCTAATAGAGATTGTATAAAGGGAACTGCCTGTCAGTTTTATCCAACCCATGTTTGAGATACAGCCCTGCGTCCTATGCACCGCAGGAGCTCAAATGCCATGGAGCCGGAGCCTGATTAAATGGTCCCCTAGGCGTTTAGATGCAAGGTACGTGCAACAGAGCTGCTGATGTAAAGCAAGAAATTAATTTTTCTCTCTTTACACTGTGCATTTGAAGTTTCATTCCGATAATTGTTTTTACTTTATTCACTGTAATTTAATCCGGTATCAAAAACTGAAAAGAAATATTTTGACTGTAACCTGCAAATTTGCTGATTATTTTACTTCATACACTTATTTTGCAAGTGCACTCGTTTTAGACGAATGTTTCCAACGCTACGATACACAGTTAAAGGATTGGACCCAAACGGAACCTATGCGATGTTCGTTGAAATGGTACCGGCAGATGAGTGGAGGTACAAATTCAGCGGTAGCCGGTGGGTGGTGTCAGGAACCGGGGACCCCATGGCTGGTGATCATCGCACTAACCTTTACTCGCATCCCGATTCGCCGGCATCCGGACGGCTGTGGATGAAACAGCCAGTGTCCTTTCACCGCCTGAAACTGACCAACAACCCGATCGACCAACAGGGTCATGTAAGTGGGCGAAAAAATCTGTTGTCAGTGTTCTGTTGTACTGTAGTCCGTGGTTGTTTCAGGTGCTGCTCTATTCGATGCACAAGTACCAACCAGTGCTTCTGGTTGTGCGCCTGCACGAGTTCTATCCGGGTAACGGCACCTCGCAGTTGGTTGCTAAAGGTGTTTTCCAAGATTCGTCTTTCTACGCGGTGACGGCCTACCAGAATGAAAAAGTCATCCAGTTAAAGATCAACAATAACCCATTTGCAAAGGGCTTTCGAGAAACCGGAAAGCACGAGAAGAACAAAGCTGATAGCCCCATTCATTCGACTCCAAGTACGTTCTCAAAGAAGGCATTTATGGCATTACGTAATAAAAATTTTTCAAGGTCCGTCTGTAAAACGGTTGAAGGAGTCTCCAGTGTTGGAAGAAAAACAGCGAGACGCCGAGCCCTCGTCCTCGACTCCCGCCAAAATCGAACCTCCGGTGACGCCAGAAGACGCCAAGTCAACCCAGTCCTTGCCTTTGCCTACCCGTTTGACTTATTGTCCGACAAGAAATGCCCAGACATTGTTGTCGATCAGGCCTAATCTGAGCAATCGCTTGCTTCCTCCGTTTTCCTCAGGCATCCTCCCAGCTCTGTCATACTACGTTCTGCCACCTGCTGTTCCTCAGACAATGCCATTTAGTGGTGTAACGGTTTATCCTTACCTCAATTGGTGTTCCCCGCAATTCACCGGCCATTACGGTTTCCCATATGGAATTTGATATGCATTTTGCGTTTTGAACTACTGCTTTTTCCATGCCGTTATTTGTGCTGTGTTTTTGATGTTGAAACAGTTTTCTTGCGTAGACACATTTTGACATCTACTTTCTGAAAATACACGTAATTTGCTTTTCTCTGTGATCTTATGTTAACACTTACTTCTGACATATGAACTTGGCCGTTGCAGCAGAAAAACGGTTGTTCCTAACTACAGTATATTTCACCATGCATAATTTGTCAAACACGAAACTAGAATCTGTTCGTCCATATCAATAAGTCAGTTTCGATAATTGCAGGCTTTATCCGGTCACGGAAGAAGAAGTGATTGGACAGCATCTATGGCGCTCCCAATCCTGTATCAGCGCTTGACCTTCAATCGAAGAGAACCCGTCTGGATCAGAGTCCTTCGGAACGCCCTAGATTATTCTTGTCATTCGCCAGTCAGTTGAGCAAGTAGTAGCTGCACTGCAGTCTTTTCTGGAAACATTCGCAAGACGTGCAAAATCCATCGCAGGTACGACTCCTCAATTTAGAGAAGCAGTGGGAGTACACGAAAAATGAGGCTCCTAGATATTTGAACTCCGGACCATATCGAGATGCGAGTCCAACAGTATGCCTAAAAAGGCATTTCAGCCTCTTATACACGAGATATAAAACTTTAAGCCATTATCAATAATCAGAAACCGAAGTTGTGCATTGGGATGAAGATCGACTTGAACAACACGGAGAGCTTAATCTTCAGACTTAGCTCTGCTAAAGTAAACGGTTTGGGCCACATCATGCCACTGAATGCTCCTATTCCAGTTTGATGATTTACCTCCTCCCATTTCCGATCGCTAGCTGACGTGGCACCTAGGTACGTTAATGCAAAGCTTCTCAGTTTGTCTGCAGATTGCAGGGGATAGGAGAACGAGAACGCACTAGGCTTTAAATTACACACGCATGTCGGCCACGTCGCATTTAGATGAGAGTATTTTCAGAGAGCGCGGGAAATCAGTTTCAGACGATGCAAGCGAAACGAGTTCGTACGCCGCGAACAGCAAACATCTCCTGGCATCTCCCAAACCGATTCCATCACTTATCACAGAGACCTTGTGCGGAATCGGACGTTCTCGTGAAGCCGTTTGGACGTAGACCGTTGGTGGTCAGCGATCGATCCTGCACTCGTCGCTGTTATAAATCCGTATGACTGGACAGTGGTCCGCTGCATCGACTACACAATTTACCCCATCACGTTATACGTCAGTGGATTGCTTCATGTGAGTGAAGTAGGAAGACGTTGCCAAACTAGTGAATTTCTTATTACAATTCCATTTTGATGACTATGCGATGCCAATGTGCATTCCTGCGGCCACGAGTTTGAATGTACGGCATTGGCAGATTGTCATATGTATAAATTAATTGACTTTGCCCTTCATTTTTCCTACTGATGCGAGGTTCTGTGTGAGGACGATGCGATGTCATTGTCAAACCGTGAATGAAAATGATCATCATCTTATTTTTATAATTCTGTTGTGATAACCGCGAGGTCGCTAAGTCTGCAGCGCGCAGTTATTTAATTGGGAGAGATCAAATCAAGTAATTCAGACAGATGACACCTGACACTATACGACCAACCTCCGACTCCCGATTAAATGACTGCGCGCTGACTATTATTAAATTAGTAATCGACTTTCTTCACAAGTTTCCATATACCAGGTATACTGGTATACGTTCGAAGAAGGTGTCCGTAATAGGCAGTCAGTTGTATGCAAAAAAGTGCAGCAAGTTAATGCCTCAAACGATCAGACTGTTTCATCCCAGATCAGATCTATTGATCAATCATTTCTTTCCAATCACGCCATTCCATTTTTCAACGTCTGCTCTGACAGGCGCATTGAAATCGCCCATTAGAACGATAGATTCCGTATTTGGCACTTCGTACAGAGCACCATTCCACTTTCTCAAGGAAGGATTTATATTCTCCCTCCAAGATGCGCCCATAGACCTGTAACGGTCAACGCTTTAGCCTGTGGTAGCTTCGGTCTGAGGATTGTCACTCCTCCGCTGACAGACTTCCATTCAATGATTCTGCCAGTGAAGTTGGGATTCTACCAGAACGGCCAAATCTGCCTGAGCGCAGTCTATGGAGTCGACATCTGAGTAAAACAGCTTCCACCCGCAGTCTCTTGCAAATTAGGCGATATGACGTCAAAAGTAAAATTATGAAATTTAATAAGCCTTATACTTTCGGTAAATCACAAATGGGAAAACAGCACACAAGCCTTATACTTAGCGAATAACCAAAGTGGTATTCTACTGAGTGTAGTTGAACAATATGTTGCTAATTTCTGAAATGTAACACAGCAAGTAAAGTTATGGTATTCAGTACTTGTAAGATTTTGCCACTGATGAATATAGTGTTGTACGCTACCGTGGGTGGAGTGCAGGAATGAGAATGAATAGCCAGTATAACAGAAAGTTATGACATACGTCCGGAGATTCTTGACTGATCCTCTTTGTAATTAACGGGGATCAACACTGTCCTGTCTCAATGGACTGATTGTCTGTCTTAACAATTTCATCAAACTTCTTTGTCAGTGTCCAAGTCACACAACCATATATAGTTGCTGACTACAGTATTGTGCTTGAATACAATATGGTTCTAACCGCAAATGATATATTTCTGTTTTCAAAGCAATCAAGGTTCCTTCTGTACGTTCTCTACACCACATGACGCCTTCGGTGTCGTCGGATACGCTCGATTCAGTGGTCATTCATCATCATTCTAAAATGTCATTGATAATCACATATCAGTCATGATTAATTGTAAATGTAACCAATGATGAATAAAATGCTTATCGTCATGTAGAAATATAAATAAAATAACGAAAATAAATATAAAATTAAAGCAAACTAATGTCATGAATAGATTTATGAGGTCGAATTAGCCTTAAACTAAATTAATTAAAAGAGGCATATTCAGCGCGGTTCAACACTATGTCTTCAGATTTTAGTGC